GTGAGAGAGGCCCCGCCGCGGAGGCGGGGAGGGTGTGAAAGCGGAGGGGGGCGTTAAACTGTGCAGCAGCACGGACGGGTGGTTTTAATGACTGTATCGGTGCGTGCAAATTACCGAGTAAAGCTTAAGGGAGTTCACGTCACGTAGGCTGCAGCCTGCGCATCTCCTGCTGCCTGTGCGCCCGCCTGGTGCTCCCCCAGGCGGCGAAATCCAGAGAGGAAAAAGCCCCCAAACCAGCTGTGAATGCAAAGGATGGCGCTGTGCTGCAATACCCGTAGAGCCTGATCCCGGCAAGCGTTGCACTGTGTCACCGAGCCCCCGGCTAGTGCGCGGTCTCGCCATCGTGAGCGCGCTCACCGGTGCACCAGAACAACACAAGAACCGGATTCAAATAAAGAAAAAAAATCACATTCAATTGGGCGTCAACCGAACGTTGTCTCCCCTTTCCCATGATAAAAAGTAACCTCTTTTCTTTTTTTTTAAGACGCAGGAATCTCACACGTGTATTTCTCATTGCCAGAAGTGACCTCTTGGGTACTGACGTGGTTCTGCTGTGCCAAAACTGAAATGTAGATTGCAATTGTATTCCCCAGTATTTTACAATACTGCAGTAGCTTCTCCAAATGGAAAAGAGTAAGCGGGATCAAAGGGATTGTCACTCATCAGTTTTCTTTTAAATAAATGTGTTTATGTAGTCTTAAAATACCACTTTGTTGGTTCAAAGTAAGAACTTTAACATAAAAGGTTCAAAGCAAATGATAAAAATACATGGAGATGGCAGCAACAAAAAGTATTTCATTAAGCAGCAACAGGGCGTTTTCTCTGAATAGAAAAAGCTGCAGCTGGTAACAGCATTCATGTCTTCATTAATAAATCCAAAAATCGGTGCCAGCTCATCATTGAAAAACACAGAGGAGCAGCACATCTGGCTACTACAGATTAGTTTCTTACAAAAGAGAAAATCACCTAGTGGAAACTACTTTATCTAACTTTTTTTCTGCACTCCTCTCCTAGTCCTTTTATTGTGTAACGGCTTGTGGTTTGGTCCCAGTTGTACAACTTCAAAAAGCAAAGCCTTGGAGACAGCTAAACGGAAGGAGAATGCTGCCCTGCACAGCGCCACAGACAAATCAGCCAGCAGCTTGAATCTTCAAGCTTTATTATCACAAGTTTGTATAACAATGACCTAGGAAACCACGCCGCACCGCGCTGCACCTGACCAAAAAAAGAGACTTAGCACACCCTGTGCAATCACAGTTGCACACCTGGACATTCTGCAGATAATAACTTGAGCTCTTTGTTGTTGTGAAAAGTATCCGTTTTAAAGTGCTCCCTACTTCCATTTGAGAAGATGTTTCATCTTAAAGCTCAAACGATTCGGGTTTTCACAAACAGAAATACCAGCTGCAGCTGCGTTGATCAGACCTGGCTCACCTTTCCCTGCCACAATGAAATAAAGCTAAAATCCTTTTCCTGTTGTGCTTTAGTTTTTCAAATGCAAGTGAAACACAACTTTCAAAAAGGCCCTGAAGTCAAGTTCGTATGGTTTCCAGCATGCTCATCAGCACGCTTTAGCAAAGGAATACCTAAAAGGCTGCCAGAGCCACGCGAGACAGATTCCCTCCTCTCGACCTCCCTGCCTTGGCCTACACTGGTAACACCTATTACCCCACAAAGACACTTG